TAAACTATATTAATAATAAATATATATTAAATTATTGCTAAAACTGTTACAAATGGAGGAGTATTAGTCACAGCTCTTTATTTTACTGAAAGTATTTCTTTGAATGCTATTGCATCAATAAGAATTATTCAAAGTACAAAAATAATTAATAATATACAAGCAATTAAGAACAAGAATATCAATAAGATAGCTAATGATTTTTTAATTAAAAAGAATTAAACAAAAAATATTAATATTATATACTCTAAAATAATACTACTATCAATACTATAATAATTTAGCTAACTGAATTACTATTAAAAATACAAGTTATACTATACTAAATATAAAACTAACAATAACTAAATTGCTAAAGTTAAACAAAAATAATTTGTTAATAATTAAGTAAAAAAGATTTAATATTTATAAAGTTATCTTATATTGAATTTATTCAAATATACAAATCAAATAATACTTAGAATATAAAAAATATGTTAACAAATATTATTTTAAATTATATTTTGAAATAAATAATAACTTATAATAAATATATTATCAAAAAATACTTGAATTTATCTGTTTACTTATATTATAAAAATTATAATAAATATATATATTACTAATAGTTATAAAAAATAATATTTTTGTATCTATAAATACCAATATATTTTTTGGTTTAACTATAATAAATAATATAAAAATTCTGAAACTATTCAAAAACTTAGAAAATAATTTTTCTTAATTAATAGTTACTTAATTTATAATAAAATTGAAAAAATAATATTATTTTAATATATACAAAAAGAAAATATTATAAATAAAATTAAATATATTGAATATAATAAATTAAAGAAAGTTTTTATTACTGAATTTTTTATTTAAATCTCTTTAAAATAATGTTTATAATTGATTAAGTTCAAATTTATTAATGTTTAACTATATAAAAATTGTTTTATTCTTTATATTATAATAATTATATATAATTAAAACAAGTAATTATTAATTAATTATTCATGAAAATTGATAAGACAAAATAATTTTGTATTAAATAATTAAAGAAAAAAACTTAATCAATACTTTACTAAATTAAAAAGTTATAAGAAAAAATTAAAAATATTATATTTGCATTTTTTTCAATACTTAATATTATTAATTTACAAATATACTTAATAAAATTTATTAATTATACAAAGAAATCCAAAAAAATTAATCAAATAAAAAATAATACAATTTCTAATAATAAAAATATTTATAAATTATATGAAAAAATATTAGATAAATATAATTCAGATAATATAATAATTATTTATAATAATATTAAAATTAAAAATAATAATTTTACTATTAAAGTTTATAATAATAAAAATAAAGATAAAATCTTAGAATAAGTTCATAAAAATAATTAAATTTCAATATTAGATATACTAAAGAAAAATTATTTGTTATTAAAGTTCAATAAATAATATTAATTAATTTATTTATTAAAATTATATATTATTTAATATTCTAATTATCTCTTGTATTTAAAGGAATTAATGTTAAAGAAAAAATTATTGATGCTAATTATACTAAAAATATTAGTATAATTTTATATAACTAATTTAATAAAAATTATACTATTCAATAAATAACAAGCTTGCTCAAATAATATTTTATAATTAGTTTTAATTAAAAATTATAACTAGTACTTATTCAATAAGAATTAAAAGAAATTTGAATTAATAAATAATAAAAATATAATAATATACTTTCCAAGTCAAGCAAAAAATAAAGATAAATTAATTAAATAACAAGAACTAACTAAAGAATAAAATTAAGTCTTGAACTAACTATTAAAAAATTTAATAATATATTTGTTGTTGAACTTTATGAATTGAACTTTATGAACTTGAAAGAATTAACAAAATTCAATATATAATCAATATTAAAAATAAATGACTAATTAAATAAAGAGCTTACTAAACAATATTATCAGATTAAGATTTTATATTAAAAAAATAATTAATACTAAAATTATAATTACTGTTCAAATTAATTTGGAATTTGGATGAAAAGTAATATTTTTTTATTTTACAGAAACTAAATTTAAAAAATATATTAAAAATTTATAAATATATATTATTAATTATAATTATAATTATATATTATTAAAATTATTAATAAAATTCTTAAAATATTTGGAATTTGAACAGAAAAATTTTCTTTTTTGAGTTTAAATGATAATTATAGCTAAAATAGCTCAATCTTTTACTAGTTTCTGTATCTCATCTATTGTCATAGCAACTAGAAAGAATGACAAAAAAATATCTTTGTATTAATTATTGAAAACTCAATTTTATTACAAAAAAGATACTTATTTTTTATCTCAAATTAACAAAATGATAAATGCTCTTGATGAAATAAAATAATTTTCATCAACTAATCTAGTTAATAAATTTTGACAAGTCAGAATTCATTCTGACAGTATTCAAAAAAACTGCATTTATTTTTTATAAAGAACTATATGAATTCAATTTGGAGTATGTAATGAATTCACTATATTTCAATAAGCTATAAATAATATACTTGAAAATTATAACTGGAAATTCACTATAATTTATATTAATAATATCAATATCTTTTTCTGAACTCTTAAAGAATACTTATAATACTGTTATTCCAGTTATTTTAACAGTATTTGTATAGCAGAAGGTTTTTACATGGATTTTTTTTATAGTTATAAGAAGAATTATAAAACAAGTTAAGTTTATTACTAAGAGAATTATATAATATATGGTTGATAAGTTTAAGATAGTTTCATTAATAAAGCTTCTTTATTACTATACTTTTCACTATTGCTGCCTCAGTCAGTGCTCTGCACATAGATTATACAAGTATATAATATAATAATAACAATATTACTAGATTATTCCAAGTCTATAACAAAAACTATATTAAATATCAAAGGGAAATTATAAAGATGATTAAAGTAATAAGCTATTAATCCTAACTTCTATCAATAACTTTCGATTACGTACTTGATATAGTTATAATAATAAATTCATATATTTGCATACGGCTTTTTAGTTTGGGATTTACATTACGTATTGTTAATCATAAAAATACTACTAAATAATATTCACGACAAACTACGTAATTTGGTTTCTGGTAAAATAATCTTTTTTTTATTAGAATTATACCGAAATTTGCTAAAATTTTTATCATTCAACCAGAACGATAATTACTTCCAAGAAATGGACGTTGCACAATTTTCAGGATTATTATTTTTTATTTACGAATAGAATATTATATAGAACAATGAATAATCTAAATTGCCAGCAACCCATGAGAATTTTCGTTTTCAGGTTATTTTAGCATCTAGTTCTCGCTAATTATATAACTCCATGATTCTGGTACGTAGAAGTGTCTGTGATATACTAGAAATACTTTATAATTGCCTGGTTAACCATTCTCGCCTTCTATCAAACAAACGCTAGAACTTCGAAGCATATCGGGTAGTTTCACACTACTGGTTTTCACGGCTAAATATGATAAGTTTATTTTGATAGATTACTCATTAGAATAATTAGACTTGATTTCTTTTATTCGCAAATCTCTCGGTCCAGATGCTAACATTGATTTGTCAACACTGCATACGTAGTAAAGAATCTGTCCTGTCGGACATTACTTCATTAATGTTGCTGCTTGCTAATGTTGAGTGTAGAATAGCTATCATTATGACTTATTCTTGTTTCATGAGATCAAGTATTCCCAGTGTTTGCTACATGGATGAGAATTTCGAAAAACGTAAAGACTGCATCACTTAGAAATACTCTGCTATTTACTTTCGTAAATGTTTTAGGCTCAAAATACCTAGAAACAGTATGACGATAAACTTTGATCGTTAAGCCAAAATACAATATCGATATAATAAAGTAAAAAATAACAAACCAAAATATAAAATAAATAGTGTTAAAAAATAATACCCTAAGAAAAGTGTCGATCACGTGATATCAACCAATAAGAATGCGCAAAAATTCTGTGCAACCAATAGGAATGTAGCAAATTTTTCATCAACCCGGCAACACAAGAAAATAAAAAAGACAAAAAATGCGAAAAATACAAAAAAACAGATATCTAAATCTAGCTTGGCACACTATCAAAAAATGTCGGGAAGACAATTTTATATGTAAGTTTGATCTCAGCTCTAACCTTAACCCTAATACTGATATCAAATATTAATCGGATATTTTAATGGACTTATTTCAGATCACGTGACCGACACTTTTTGCCGTGGATAGGGTATTGGTTAAAAAAACTGAATTCGTACTTGTAACGTGTTGAGAGTTTTTGCGTTTTCGATCTCGCCACAATTCTGACAAGGAGCTTAAAACTCTACCGGTTAAATAAAGATACCTGAGTCAACGGTAACTTTAGACATATCCAACGTCTCTAATATGCTTTGCTTTGTAAGTTTCTCTTATAAAATATATGAAAGACGGGATGTCGCTTTTACTATTATTTGCTGTAAAGAAATGAGAGCATAACAATAACGATAACGATAATATGTTCAAGTCGGTATCATGAGCTGGTCTAAATATAGTTAAAATAATCAAAAATATACAAGTTCAAAATGTTTTCTTTGTGAATTAAATTTATTAAGTTATTCAAAACGGTTTTTATTAATAGAGTTAGAGTAAGCTATCTCGTGATGAAATTATTGTAGAAAAAACATTTTACCCGTATTTTACATGATATATTTAAGAAATGTCGGAATTAAGGATAATCTCGAAAATACTAGACTGCATTAATAAAAGCAATATATCGTGGTTTTTCACTAACTTTTTAAAATAATACAATTATTTCTCAATATTTTAAGTAATCTAAATATGCATATATATAAGTGATAATCAAGCCACTCTCTTCTTGATCTTATTCTGTGATCCCCAACGGTAAAGAAAATCTGCGCTGCTTTCTTTGATAGTTTTGATCAGAATCGCATTAGAATTCCATTAAATATTTGACACAAATGAATTAAATATTTACCTTGGGTCAGGGGGTGGTGGTAAATCATCTTCAAGCATCCAAGAACTTTTCGGAAGTAATTTATATATTTCTGGACTGAATTTTCAAAATATTTCTTAATTAAATGAATTTGTTACTAAGAAGTCAAAAAAAATTTACTTACTGTTGTTTAAGATATTCAATTCCTAACACAGTTTCTCCGGTAACAATATAAGGTATTTTTTTTTGCGCCTTCAGCAATGATTCCGGTGTCAGGTTATAGGACTCTGACAGTAATAGAGCGCGTAAAGATCCAGCAGCCTTTTTGACGATTATTTCCAAATGACGATCCGTAAATCGCTCCACAACTTGAAATTCCAAGGTTTTTAGTTTTGCTTTGCTTTTGTCAAAAAATTCGGAGAGGACATCCGAGGTGAATTCAAGTCTCATTATCAAACTTAGTGATTCCAATGTAGCCGGTAACATTCCACCGAGATCACACAGAAAGTTACTATCATAATGCGGTCCAGTTTGATACCGATATGTATCAATGGATAACGAAACCAATTTGGGAAAACATTTCAAAGCAGCAGACAATTGGCAGACTTGATATGGAGCGATTAGTAGAGAAAGATCAGAGACTTTTTTTGTTTTTTTCCGGAAATATTCACTTAAATTCATCGTGCTAAGATATTTTGAGTTGTCAAATGTGATTTGGCGTATAGTACGAACAGAATTATCCAGGATTTTTTGTAAATGTTCCACGGGTAATAAAGAGCGTTTGATCTCTAGTTTTACCAACTTTAACGATCGTAATTTTGGAACAGGATCATCTCCGAAATTTCGACATGCATCAAATGATAATGTCTTTAATTGTTTGCACTTTGTCAATAAAGACATTGGATTCTTATGGTGAAAATCGACTCCACGAAATTTCAATTTGATCAGCGTTTTCGCTTTACTCAAGATTGTATCCAACAGTGTCTCGATTCCTTTTTCAGAGAATTGACTATGATCTGATAAATCAAACTTGACTTGACGAAGATTCTTTTGGTTTCTTAGTAGATTTTCCACAGAAATATCCCAATCTTTATCGTATTTGTTATTGTACTTTGATCCGTGTTTCATTTCCTTTCCTTGTCGCACTTGTATTGTAATTTTGCTAATATTTTTTGTGAGATTCGTGATCGACGAAATTATTTTACCATTTCTTTGTCCATCATACTTGAATGTTTGAATTTCCGAGAATGCTTTTTTTGCATCAGGCAATGAAAATATTTCGATCAATGATGGAGAATGTGAAATTCCAAGATGCCAAAGACGAGACACAGACTGCACCAGATGTCGAACTAGCGTGATATAAAGATAACTCGTGTCTTTTAATCCCCAATAATAACCCCAATCGCTTAAAGCGTATGATAAAGTGGTGAAATCTATGCACTTTATTAGTGTGTCATATGGGTATGTTGGCTCCTGTTGAATGATTTCTGTTTGATGATGTATACAATCTTTTGTGTCATCGTCGAGACATGCGAGCAGTGGAGCTATACGCTCCTTTGTACGCTTGTCAAGACATGTGAGTAGTGTATTTATTAGGCTGGAGAGAGCATCATCCGTCAACGGGGCACCAAATTTGGGATTTCTCCAGAGAATTGCCACTGATTTCTCACTCCAATCTCGTCTCACCAAACAGCAAGAGAATAGAGTGTTATAGTCATCAGAAAGATTTTCCAGTATCTCTTCGAGAATAAGTGATGGCATCGAAATACTCATGGTTTTTTTTTGGATTTTGGATGCGTTGTTAGGTGTGTGTGATGTGTGGTGTTGTGTTTGTCAGTCAGATCGCCGGTCGTACGAGTTCCTAGTAATTTCGTAGTACAACGGCGTTTGACGGTTATTAATATGGGAAGACCTAGAATATGTGTGTCGTAAAACTAAGTTATAGTTTTAAGAAAACGTGCACCAAAAATTTCTTTGAGACAGTTGTGGTGGTGGTGATGTTGGTAAAAATAAAAAAACTATGAAATCTATGTCGGATCCAAGTCGGTTATAAATGCGTAGTTGTGTGTGTGATATCAGATTTGAATGACGCAAGTATAATAAATTCACGGTTTATGCTGCTGGAGTCGGAAACCGGACCACCAATAGCACCAATATGTTTAGATCTACGGACCACATAATGACACACATTGTCTAATTTAACAAACAATGGAATCACAAACAACTGACACACTAAGCACAACTGTTACAGAGATTAATTCTCTCCAGAAAAACATAACACCAAAAAAGTGAATTTGCATGAAATGAATTTTTCCTGTTGGTGGTTAAGAAGATCAGATGACTCAGCAACAAATAGTGAATTATTATTGTTTTTTTACCTTTTTATTTGACATTAAAAAAATATATTGATTATATATTCTCTCGAGGTCCGTGCTTGTTCAAAAAAAAAATGCTATAAAAATATTGCAGTTACTCGATTCATCGTCAGAACATTGTTTGAACTTGTCTTCTCAATAAATTATCGAGCTGTATTAATTACTTGTATTCACATTTAGTAAGAGTAAATATTGACAGATTTGTACCATCCTTTCTATCTTTGTCAATTCTTTGTTCTCATTGCTGCATTATGTTCATTGTAATCTACACTTTTAATAAAAGCACGATAACGAAAGACGCAGATAATGAATGATAACAGCAATCGCACATGATTGGTTGGTGTATATGGATAACCGATAACTTGCATGGATGATGATCAGATGTCAGTATGGTACACTTATGTTTTATTGTTTTTATACCAAGATAACCGATAATCGATACCCTGAACCTATCTATGCTTTTACCCTTTTCCGATGCACAGAACACTGAATTACCATACAATTATTGGTATCACTGTGATTAATTAAATTAAAACTTTCCAACTATTTTTGGTTTTATTTATGTCCACTGACAGAAAAGATAAATTTCATATGACATGAGGGACGTGAGGAAAAGTGTGGGGAATACGTATCACTATCCGGTATCACTATCTAGTATCATTTCTTCTTATATAAATCTGGTGATGTTTGTTTTTAATAAATTCGAAAAATCCGTCAAGTGACAGATCCAATACAATAGTCCACGAAAATGGTTTGTTTGGGTGTCTCGGGAGTTTGTCCTTTTTAGTCGTCGCATACACATTAGCTAGACTTTTATGGTTAGGTGTGAATTTTTTAGTATGATGCCCCAGAACATCGTCCATCAGTACTACGGAGATGGTACTCGATAGCTCTGGACTATTAATGCTATTTAAGATCAAGGGTAACGTCAAAAACTCATTTAGCATCAAAACACCAAAAGGTCAATCTTACTCATTTAATGTTAAAATAATTATTGTGCGACGTCACTATTTATTTTCATATTAACAATATTGTACTCTTATTCTCTCAATCAACCTTTTCATAATTTTCCGAGAAATATGTTTTTCGATTATCATTTATGAAGCTAGAAAAAGTGATTTCGGCGAGAATAATTAGCATTCAAACAGGAACTTAACAAAACCACCATTAAAAAAATCTTACTTAATAAAATTCACTATTAACTCTTTTAACATTTCCAAGATCTCATCGTTAAGCAGCGTTTGATTCAAGATTTCGGGAAATGTAACTGTAGTATTATTACATGAAGCAATTAGCAATAGTAAGATGAAAAATTTTGGCTGAATAAAAAATTATATTATTATACCAAATAATCTTAACAAATGTTCTGCGCCATAAATATCAACATAATCAACAGGTGCCTCGTATTTATTTCGCATCTCACGGTACTGTTCTCGTTCGTCCTGATACAAGAGACGTCCACCCAATGATTTATTGAAATAAAGTTTGACACCTTTTAGCACTTCTTCGGTCTCATCCCCAATTTCACCGCTATCACGATTTAGGATTGAACTTCGTATATTAATAAAAACGATTAAGGGCATAATTAGAAGAAATACACATAAAATCACGTACTGCTTTTCTTGCAAGTGAAGCTTATAATCAACAATGATATTTTGGACGGTTGGGCTTCGCGGCAAGGGTACCAACTATGTGTATATAATTGTGATTATGTGAGTGTAAATAGAACATCGATAAACGTGATGCTCTAATAGATTGGGCATACCAATTGAGATTTATTAATGCATTCCCAATCGTGCACTAGTAGTGCTTTTAATGGCTCGGGTAGATCAAACAGTGCGAGTTTTTGACGTTTAATAAGATCATTCTTTGATCATAAGAAATGTTGAAATAAATCTTAATAGTTCTACACATACACATGCAAAGAAAAAAAAATACCTTGTCAAACAATTCTCGCTTCCTCTTTTTACTCTTCTCTGGAGATACATAAGCAGGATCTGTTGCACTTTTTCTTCCGGGCGTTGGTGTAATCGATCCTATCGATGAAGCGGCAGCACCGGCCGAAGCCTTAGTTTTGTTTTGCGAAAAAGCCGTTTTTAATTGTTTTTGCTTACTAAGATTGGCTTCATTGAACTTTAGTACACGTGATTCAACTACCCATTCGTCCCAACTTTGGCCAAAAAACATGAGAATGGATTTTTAAGAGGGGGGTCGAATCATTTAACCAGTCAGTTCAGCAGTGAAGATACGATGAACCAGTATAATCAGAATAAGACCAAACATACGTGTTTTTCCACCCCTTATAATGAATCAAGTAGTGTGGCCCTGTTTCATTAGATTCGGGGTGTTTCTCCTCAAATATTTGAGCTTTCAATATCTGTTTATCAAACGGAATCAAGATTAACTTGCAAGGTATATCCCCTCTCACCATATACGAAGATTTTTCTAACTCGTAAGCTCCTTCACCACCTTTATAATTCTCGCTCACCTTCGCTTCATAAATCATAGGCCCATGATAACAAAGACATTTTTCTCCGATTTTATACGTCAAAGCTTTGTTATATTCAGTTGTCGATAGTTGTGTTGACATTTAGGAATTTTCAGGAATTTGGTGTGTGAGAAATTAAACTTTTTGTTGTTACATTAAATAACAATGGTAAAATTCATAACTCTATACATCCATGTGATTTAATGAAAAATTCCATAATCGGCTAGCGTGCTAGATTCTTTGGGCGCAATCAGTTGACTAGGACATGTTAAACTCTCGTTTTTCCGTGCAAAATAAACTATTTATCCCGAGATTTTTAGTAAACATCTTTTTCCCATGAGTATGAATGACGGCCTTAGCATTCTCCTTGCCATCTTTGTTATTGTGCTAATTTTCCGCTGGCTATTGGGTATTTAATATAGTGAAGGAGATTGGGTTTTCATTTTTTTTGATGTTCGATTTACTCATGTATACTTCGATCGTAGGAACAACTCCACCTGTATCAAATGCTAGTCGAAGAGGAAATGCAACGCAAGAGCAATCTAGAGTACGGTTACAGGCGGTAACAACAGAAATGGTTCGTACCAGTATTTTCTGCTTTTAATTAGATCTTTTTTTTTAAGAAGGGAGCTAACGAGAAACTTTGAAAAGGTCGAGACGGTTTGTGCTATGTTTCCAAACATCCCACCCGCTGCAATTCGGTTTGATCTTCAGAAAACAGGGTCGGTTGAAGTAACGTGTGATAATATATTGAGAGACGGTGGATTACCGCTGGTAAAATTGACATGTGGATTTCGACTATCAGTTAATAAAAGTTCAGCATCTTTTTTCTTACACTTTTTTCATTTTATTACAGCCTCCTCCATCGATAGCTCCAATTGTTCCGATTCAATCTCCCACCTTAAACGCATCTACATCGGCGAGCTCTTCCTCTTCTGCGATAAATAATAATAACACTCAGACTCACCAATCCCTTGTTCATCGATACAAACTTCATGAAGCCGTCGCTAAAGATGTCATTCCAGATGAGCCTCCCAAACAGTGGGAAGTCACGTCTGAAAAGCGACATCAATTGTTACAAAAAAGAAAAGAGGCGATGGTCTTGCAGGCAAGAAAGTATGTGCATTGGATTGATCGAGCGGGAAAATTTTTTTTTGAATCTTAAAAATTGACAATCTTATTTTATGCAGACGATATTTGGAACAGCAATTAAAGAAACAAGAGGAATCACAAGTAAAAGACCAAGTGTCAACTTCGTCACCATCAAATTTTCAATTCACATCATCCACCACGAAAATATTACAATCAAATGAATTAGAAGACTGCACAGACACAGATCAACAACAATTAAGTCCTGAAGCACGTCGACAAAAATTATTGCAAGCTGCCGAATTGCGAATGGGCTTTGGTAATGCAAAGAAAACATGACTTTCTACTACCACTATTATTATTTAATTATTATTATTATTATTATCATTATTATTATTATTATTATTATTATTATTATTATTATTATTATTATTATTATTATTATTATTATTATTAT